TCACATTTATGACGGTTGCAGCGTCCCGGGGTCATGTGATGTGATCCTCTTTGGCGACCTGATAAATGAACTGAAGGGGGAAGCCAATTTCACTTAACAACCATGTGAGCTTAAGCTAACGACTCAGTGATTCACTTAACAACCATGGCAAGAAAGTAGTAAAATGGAGCGAAACCAGAGGTGGTATCCAGCAGGTTCTGACCAGTTCTGGAGAACCAGTAGCGGAAATTTTGAGTAGCTCAGAGAACCGGCAAATCCCACCTCTGACTGGCCCGGCCCCCATCTATTCTCTGCCTCCAAAGTCCCAGCTGATCAGCTGGGTCTTCTTTTGTTGCCCTGCACAGGAGAACAGAGCTGGAAAGCAGGTTAGTGGGGTGGGGAGGGAATGGGGATTTTGCAGTAACCTTTCCCCTGTCGCGCCCACCAAGCCACGCCCACAGAACCAATAGTAAAAAAAAATTTGAATCCCACCACTGAGCGAAACTCACTTAACTGTCTTGTTTAGTCATAGAAATTTTGGGCTCAATTGTAGTTGTAAGTCGAGAACTACTGATATTTATGAAACAAATCCATATGGCTGCCCATCTCAGGGTAACTCCAGGTGGCTTACAACTTTTAAATTTCATGAACTGAGAACCCATAAACCCCTCCCCACTCTCAAAAAAAAATAATCAGTTGTTTTCTCATTGATGATTACTTGACCCTCGATCCTGTTATCAAAATGTGCCTATAAAGATACAAGCATCCTTTATCTTTTTTTTGTTCCCTCTCTTTGAGACTGCGGTCCTTTATAGAAATTATCCAAAATCTTCCAGGGCAGCTTAAAAAAATTTATTCTCTTGATAAATGTCCCAGTTGATAACAAGAAGCAAATTCTCTGTATCCTTGCAAGATGAAGAAAATTTTAAAAAATTACAGTATGCGCTACATTCATAATTATTCTTTAGAAGTGGGAAAACCAGCGTTTTATAAGCACGTAAGAATCCCACTGGGTTTCATTTTCATCGCTTTTCATTTTTGGCAGCCGTTTTTATGTTTTCTGGGTCAAGAAAAGCGAAACCATTGTACTTATCCTTTATATTTATTGGTGTAGAAAATTCTAAGCTGGACTAATGGTTGGTGTGAAAGTGGCTTTCTATCCGGGTAGTCCTTGACTTACAACATTTACTTAGTGACCGTTTGAAGTTACAACAGCACTGAAAAAAGCAACTCATTACCATTTTTTCCACACAATCCTTGCGGCATCCCCGTGGTCACATGATCAAAATTCAGATGCTTGGGAATTGACTCATATTTATGACCGTTGCAGTGTCCTGAAGTCATGTGATCACCTTTTGTAGCCTTCTGACAAGCAGTCAACTGGGGGAATCAGATTCACTTAACAACCGTGTTACTAACTTAACAACTGCAGTGACTCACTTAACAACTGTGACAAGAAAGTTAGTAAACTGGAGAAAAACTCACTTAGCAACATAAACCTTGGGCTCAGTTGTGGTCGTAAGTCGAGGACTACTTATATTAAGTATCTGTTGCACTTGGACTGCAGCCTATCTTTTAATGAAGGCAAAACAAGATCCACTGAACAATGGCCCATTGCGAAAATGATGATTTCATGGATCGTTTTGGTGATTTAAAGGAGGCCTGTCCTTCTGGCTCTCTTGCTCACCAGGTACATTGGTCAAGTGACGGGTTGCTTTGGTGATGATTCCCAATTTATGGAAGGCCCTTCAGGTATTTTGAAAATACTTATTTAGCCTTCCAGTGAAGTAAATGGCACCTTTGATGTACCTGAATATTTATTTATTAGAGCAGGGGGCCTTCAAACTTGACAACTTTTAAGACTTGCGTCAGCTCAGGAATTCGGGGAGTTGAAGTCCACAAGTCTTAAACTTGCCAAGTCTGAAGACCCTTGTATTATATTCTAACTTTGGGGGAGTTCACTATTTTTCCCCACAACAACATTCCTGCAAGGTAGGCTGGGCTGATTGGGCGGGGGGGAGAGACTGGCTGAAAGACAACCAATGAGCTTCCTAGAATACGGAACCTGGATCTCCCCACTCCTAGCCCAACCCCCTACTACCCCTGATTGGCTCTTATACTGGGAGGGAGGGACTAGCCCAAATTCAGCCGATAAGCTTCTATGACTGAGGAAGGAATTAAAATCTTGGTCGCCCCACTCATAATTCAACACCTCCACTACTGCATCATCCTGTATGTCGGCGAAAACCTTTTTACGGATTTCTATTACGTGTTTCTGTTTTTAATTAATTTTGGGAAGGAATTTTGCAGTACTCTGCTCAGAGTCCATCGTCTGTGGCAGGCTCTAAATACAGTAAAATCAATCAATAAAACAAATGAAGCTATACCAGTATAACCTGCTCAGGTGCCTGCCCCATGCCTGGATGGGGACAAACCAGCTGTGACTCAATATTAATAAGATGGTTGGGAGTTTGGGGCTCCTGGAGTCCAACATCTGGAGTTGTTGTGATGCTGACTGGGGGATTCTGGAAGTTGATGTCCACATGTCTTCCAATGTACCAGATTTAAAAAACACTCCATTAAGATCTTTAAAGACAAAAAGAGCACCGTGAATGAAAAAAGAAACAGCTTTCTGAACTCAACAATGGCCCAGACAAAATAAATGCAAGTAATTTGATTGCTTATTGTACCCTATGACTATTGTTAAGTATTGTACCTTATGATTCTTGACTCTTGATGAATGTATCTTTTCTTTTATGTACACTGAGAGCATTTGCACCAAGACAAGTTCCTTGGGTGTCCAATCACACTTGGCCAATAAAGAATTCTAATCCTCGATTTACAACCATTTCTTTAGTGACTGACTGAAATAAGTACAGCACTGAAAATAACTGGCCCTCGCATTTACAACCGTCATAGCATCCCCACGGTCACGTGATCAAAATTCAAGCACTTGGCAACCAACATGTATTTATATGTTTCCAGGGTCATATGATCACCATTTGCAACCTTCCCAGCTGGTTTATGACAAGCCAAGACAGCGGAGGAAGTCAGATTTGTTTAACGACTGCCTGATTCACTTAACAGCAATACATTTAACAGCTGTGGCAAAAATGGGGTGTAACTGCTTAGCAACAGAAATTCTGGTCCCGGTTGTGGTCGTAAGTTGAGGGCCTCTTGGAAACACAAGTCAAAAGGAGCTTTTGTTATTTTAATTCCATACACTGAATTTGTAAGTCTGCCCAATTCAAAATGACACTGCTCATCATCATAACAACATAAAAATAATTAGCACATCAGTTGATGAGGAAAATCAACATTACTGATTTGGCATGAGAGAACAGACGCAAGGCCTTAAAATGTATTCTAATCTAAAAGAGCGGCACTTAAATTGTCACAGCCAATTATCCCTTTTCCTCAAATAATACTATTACACCCATTTAAAAAATATATAAAAAGACTAGTTTTACACAAGCGTCTCAGCCACAGCAATCCCAAAATGGATCCTCAACTCACAAATAAGTAATTACCAATTGCTCTATTACTCCCCCAGGATGCGCCCAAATTTCTCCCTCTGGGAAAATTCCCCCCCCCCAGTTTTAAGAATCACTGTTCTAAATTTAGAGTCAGGAAAGCATTATAGGGTAATCTAAAAGCTAGCCAACTTATAACCATGCAGGTTCTCCTTTTTTAAAAAAATGGATTCGCAACCCATTCTGGCATATATTTTATTTTTTATTTTGCAATTAACAGCAATCTGCCAACACAACAAAACTGAAACAGGGGAAGCTCACTGGAAATGATGGATTAATAGGAAAAGCTCTGCCAGCTACCTACATTTCTGCCTTGATAGGCAGCTCTCTCCCTTTTCCGTCAAGTATTTTTAACACTGGCCTGATTTACAGCTGCAATCCTATCAAGGTTTCTTGCCAGTAAGCTGCACAAGCAGAGCAAATATATATACCTGGTGACCCTGAAAAAGATGACAGGCTGCTCCTAAATATGCTCTTCGATCAGAGATGCTGCAGCAAATCTAGCAGTGATGGGGTGGGGGGGTTGGATTGGATGACCTCTAGGGTGTATTGCCACTAAGGCTTTACGCCTCTTTCTTAACCCCTGTCTTCTTTTGGTCCTAGCCACAGGGACTGGCAAACTTGATTTGCTGAATTCAAAACATCTCAATGACAGACAGGCAGTCTTGACAACATGAAACCACGCAGTCTTGACAACATGAAACCACACAGGCAGGTTTCCCATAAAGATGCTTTTTCCCCCCAAGAGTCAACTGGACTTTCTTGTTTCTTTCTTGGAAGGCATTTTGCTTCTCATCCAAGAAGCTTCTTCAGCTCTGACTGAATGGCAGGGAATGGAAGGATTTATTCTCCTTGCAGACAGCTGGTCCTTTTTGCATTCTTTTAGGAGTTGTTAAAAGAATGCAAAAGAATGGGCAATCCCAGATTCGAGACCAAAGTCCCCCAGTCAGAGCTGAAGAAGCTTCTTGGATGAGAAGTGAAACGTCTTCAAAGAAAAACAAAACAAAGCAAGGTAGTCCAGTTGTCTCTTGGAGAAAAAAAAGCACCTTTGGGACAACCATGACCTGGATGACTGAGAATCTCCAAAGATGCACAGGCACGTTTGTTTTGGACTTTGCAATTCATTGCGCAAATCTTAGGATAAGGTTTTTTGGGGGGAGGGAGGGGGGGAGCAAGCCCGCTGCTAGGGCTTCGTTATGCCAGCCAGAGGCTGAGCCACACTTGGCATGAAGTCCGTATCGGATGGTTATTGACCCCATTGGCAAGATACCATTTGCAGCGGTTGGTTTACTCAGCGTCTCTCCCGGGTTAGGAATCAGCGCGGAAAAAGCACTTTTTTCTCTCCAGGCCGGTTTGCAGGGAAGGCCAAATCCACGATCCTCGAAGGGGTGCTGGGGGGGAAGCGGGGGGGGGGGGGGGAGAGAACCAACAAAGGTGTGTCTTGCCCTTTCAAGAGGTGCGCCGCTCTTTTCCCCCGGGATCGCTTGAGCAACAAAGCTGCCAACAGTCACGACCTTTGGATAGAGGAGGGGGGGGCGGAAAGTCCTCCCCCCCCCTTTTTTTGGGCGAGAGGATCGCATGAGAGGCGAGGAGGTTTGTGTTACGCCCAGGAACCCGCCGCTTGGCCGATCGACCCTTCCCTGCTGGAGCGATCGCCCCTCGTCGCCCTTTCCCACGACCCTCTTCTTCCAGGTTTGCTCTCCGCGCCGCTGGCCATGCGGCTGCACCCGCTCTGGGCCGCCGTCGGCCTTTTCCTTTCCGCCTTCCCGTTATTCTACCTCTTGAACGCCGTCGCGGCTTTGCTCAGGTACGTGTGTCGTGTGAACGAAGCACGAAGGACACGGATTTGCCCCGGGGTTGTTGGTTTCCCTCCCCCTCCTCCCTTGACCCTCTTAAACCTCTTTTTCCCACGACTTCTGGGGACCAGGAAGAAGGTTTGGCACGGCCGGGGTGACTTGTCACAGGTCGAGTTGTGGGAAGGGAACACACAGGATAAACAACGGGAGAGAACATAGAATAACAGAATAACAGAGTTGGAAGGGACCCTGGAGGTCATTTAGTCCAACCCCCTGCTGGAGCAAGAGAGTCTATTCCAAATTGCAAAGATGGAAGCCATCTGTCTTTGGGAGCGTAGAGCCCATTTATGGCCATGTTAGTCCCAGCTTGTCCCAAAGGTGCTTTTTTTTTTCTTTCCAAGAGGCAACTAAACTTTCTGGTTTTTCTTTGAAGACATTTTGCTTCTCATCCAAGAAGCTTCTTCAGCTTCTTAGTTTTTGGTAGGTTTTTCGGTAAAGGCACACTCTCCTTGTAGGGCTAGACTGTTTTCTGGTGGTCCTCAAATAAGCCTGGAAAAAAAAAAACTCCTGAGTTTTGATCATTTTAGTAGCTTTTCAATAGCTTTAATTCCAATTTTACCTTGATTTAAAGCGCTTGTTTTGTTTTAGTGAATTTCGGTGCTTTAAAATGTAATGCAAAGTAGACCGTTTAAAAGCAGGGGGTTTAATGTAGGAGGGTTGAAATGAGATAGTTTAAAATTTAATGCCATTAGGGAAAGATTTGTTTTGCATAAGGATAGTAACAATAGCTATCATAATGATGGGGCCCTGTTTGACATAGCTACAATTTTGACTGCCAATTTGCCCTAGTGCCTTCTCTACTCCTGGCAGGTATAAGTGATCGCGATGATCCTATTTAAAATCATCATTTGGGAGGGGAACCCTGAAATTTTGGCAGGCTGAGCCTCTATTAAAATCTGCAGGTTTGTGTCTCACCTGATCTGGTAACGTTCTCCAATTCAGAGGTGGTATTCAGCAGGTTCTGACCAGTTCTGGAGAACCGGTAGTGGAAATTTTGAGTCATTTGGAGAGCCAGCAAATCCCACCTCTGACTGGCCCCGCCCCCATCTATTCTCTGCCTCCCATTGAGTCCCAGCTGATCGACTGGGTCTTCTTTGGTTGCCCTGCACAGGAGAACGGAGCTGGAAAGCAGGTGAGTGGGCTGGGGAGGGAATGGGGATTTTGCAGCAACCTTCCCCTGCCATGCCCACCAAGCCACACCCACAGAACCGGTATTAAATTTTTTTGGATACCACCACTGCTCCAAGTGCATCTGCCTGTCACTTGCTGTGCCTCAAAATCTGCCCATGAAAAAATCATAGGACAAAGGGAAAAAGCATTGGGTCTGCAAGACTTAAAAATTAAATTGCAGTTATTAAAACAGAAGAGAAGTAAATATATGCAGGTAGTCCTTGACTTACAACAGTTCATTTAGTGACTGTTCAAAGTCTCCCCATCACTGAAAAAAGTGACTTATGAACCATTTTTCACACTTACAACCATTGCATGGTCCTCCATGGTCATGTGATGCAAAATTCAGATGCTTGGCAACTGACTCATACTTAAGACGGTTGGGTTCCTCGGGTCACCGGATCCCCTTTTGCAACCTTCTGACAAGCAAAATCAATGAGGAAGCTACATTCCCTTAACAATTGTGTTACTAAATTAACAAGTACAGTGATTCACTTAACAACCGTGGCAAGAAAGGTTGTAAAAAGGAGAAAAATTCACTTGTCAAATGTCTCACTTAGCAACAGATGCTAACACATGCAGCCCCTCATCCGAGTCCTCGCTGTCAGAGACCTCAGCCGCCCACACCTGTTGCCAGCGAACCACAGCATTTATTATTTTGTGCATTTAATACTTAAATGAAAGGCTGGGTGAAACCAGGCTTAATAGCAGTGACTGTGAGAGGGATCTTGGAGTCTTAGTGGAGTTTCTGGTGAGTTACGTGATTCTTATTGTTTGGGAATTAATCCCCTCGGAGGCTAGTGGCTGTGTTATCTGATTTTCTCAATGGCTCTCCCTCACGAGTGCTGAGTGGATTGTTTATGTAGCTTGCAACACTTTTACAGGTGTGAAATGCTCTTGGCTGAATGCCCAGAGGTTCAATTAAGCCTATTAAGAGCTTTCCCTTGCTGCTTGTCTTTCTGAGGTTATTGGGGGCTCTCCGAGTGCCGCAGAGTCTTAGCTAGGGCCCCTGCGAGCCCCCAGCAGCCCATCCCTGCTTGTATACCATTTCACAGTGCTTTTATAGCCCTCTCTAAAGCAGTTTACAAATGTCAGCCTATTGGCCCCAACAATCTGGGTCCTCATTTTACCCACCCCGGAAGGATGGAAGGCTGAGTCAACCTTGAGCCTGGTGGGATTCGATCTGCCAAATTGCAGGCAGCTGGCAGTCACCAGAAGTAGCCTGCAGTACTGCATTCTCTAACCACTGCGCCACCACGGCTCATACTTTGTACCTTTCCCCACTCCAGGCACACTAGGGGTTAAACTGAGTAGATGTTAAGGGAACAGCTCTTTTCCAAGACGGCCTAAGGAACTTCGATATGGTGATGGGCTCCGCATGCCCTGGGGAATAGGGAGGGCCTTGTTGTAGAGAGCATCCTTGATCATAGAGCAAGAGTCCAACTCAAATCCAGGGATCAAATCCCAGGATTCAGTGTCAGGGTTTGAGTCGAAGGTCGAACACTATGTAGTAATCAACGAAAAGCCACTGTAGACAACGATGATCCATTTGATCTTTAGTTTCCCTGCTTCTCGCCAAGCCGGCTTGCCAGGGCTCCTGGCCTGTCTCCTTTGGCAGGAAATAGGGAAATCATTAATGATTGTGCCTAAAAATACATTCCGGGGTCTGCCAGCTAATCTATGCTATGGCAATTTGCCCGTTGCTGGTGTAAAGCAATTCCAAAGGAATGCAGGGCAGCGATAGCTCGGATTTTATACTATTAATTAGAGCTCGACACTGAAGGCATTTCAAAGGAGAAATTTCCTGACAGAACAATTGATCAATGGAACTACTTGCCTCCAGAAGTTGTGAATGCTCCAACACTGGAAGTTTTTAAGAAGATGTTGGATAACCATTTGTCTGAAATGGTGTAGGGTTTCCTGCCTAGGCAGGGGTTGGACTAGACAACCTCCAATGTTCTTTCCAGATTCTATTCTATTATTCTCTATTCTATTATTCTCTATTCTATTATTCTCTATTATTTCTGTTCTATTATTCTCTAGCATTATTCTATTCTAGTATTATTCTATCTAGTATTATTCTATAATTTGTCAGAAATGGTGTAGGGTCTCCCGCTTGGGCGGGGGGTTGGACTAGATGACCAATAAGGTCCCTTTCAACTCTGATTATCTGTTATCTGTTATTCTATTCTATTCTATTCTATTCTATTCTATTCTATTCTATTCTATTCTATTCTATTCTATT